CTATAGTTTGTATGCACGGCATGGGGTATGTTATCCTCAAGATACTGCACTGTTTGCTGTAGGCCCTGAGCCCTTTTTGTGTTTTCTGCCCCAGGTGCCCGACACCAGGGTGCGATGGTTCGGGACATATCACTGGCAACTACGCCTCACACAGAAGGTACGACACACATTCTGCAGCATTACATACATGAACAACTTCTTCCCTTTTCTCAAAACGTCTTTCTCTTCTGTCTCACATACACAAAGTTCTTACTTTACTCTGCTTCTACTCACCCCTCCCCTTCCTGTCTCTCTCTCTCTCTCACACACACACACACACACACACGTACTGTATGCTTCAACTTTGTAACACTGTCATTTATCTGCAGTCTCTCAGGGTGTCCGCGGGCCAGGAAAAGTGGGATAAAGATCATCCACAGTAAAGAGAACAAGGAGGACCAGGAGCCTATCAGGTACTGTACAGACACTGATCATCAGTCTTCTGTCTCCCTTTAAAACCCTGATACTGAAACTCTTCCTCCTGCTACAAACACTGCTCACCGCTTACTTTACATTCCCCATGTGGAATATAAAAAATTACATATAACTTTAGTTTTCCTGTTTTAAAACGATGCAAGTAAGCTGCGTGAATAAGAACAAAAGAGCAATATACTATTTTCTAATCAGCACATTGCTCTTTGACATGCACTGACGCAAGAAGGAATAAATCAGTTTTACTTCTGACAAGACAAATGTGGTGTGAGTGGGAAGTCTCAACCCACATCTAGAGGTGCAGGAGAAACTTCAGAAGAACAAGGTTGTTGCAGTTTAGAGATCTGCAGTCTCTGGTGAACTTCTGCAGACACACAGGTAAGGAAAGACAGAGAGGGAAGGACAGAGGCAGAGAGAGATTGATTGGACTCTACCTAAATCCCACAATGGGCTTCTCTGGCCTCCGCCCTGCAGCTGCATTGATTTCTCTGGTGGTGCAGAGCACAAACAACACACTTTGGCCATTCTCCATCTTGTCATTTTGTTGGATTCTGAGGACAATTTGCCACAGGTTTCCCTGTCAGTATGCTCTGCTGACGTTTAATTATCTTTGTAAAATATTTAATTCACTATTTGACCTTTGGAAAATAGAAAGGAACCGACAGAGATGAGTAAAGTCTCTTGGCTTCAGAGTAAGACATGGTGGCTGTAACTAATAAATGAAATTTGAAAAGCTACAGAATGAAGCACATTACAACTAACAAACAAACTCTAAATTAAAGGCATTTCTATTTTTCTGCAGTATTTAATGTAAAGGGAGTACATGAACCACTTCTACATCTTTCAGTTTTCCCTTTTTGGATGACATCATCCTAGTTACCCTTTCTCTTTAGCTTATTATGCTCAGACACCTTCTCTAAATAGTCTGTGTGCCCTCTTCAGGGTAGAGATAATGTTTGTGTGCTCATTTATTACTCTTAAAACTTGCACTGGCTCTCATGCTAGGAGGCCTGGTCTGACTCTTAACACTGAGGGACTGTACAGAAATATTAGAGGAGTAAAAGGGGTGGGTATTGTAATTCTTCCTTCCAACCACAACTACAGTGAGGATTATCTCAAAGTGCCACACAGTTCACTCCACAATTATACAAATTCAGCAACATTTTTATAAGTAATGATTCATCATGGTGTGGCAGAATGTAAAACAAAACAAAATATTTCATATTTCATTGGGTTAAGGTTTTTGGAAGCCTGGGTGAATGGATTAGCTAAGGAAATTCCTTTGACTTCTGCCATATATTTACTGGGAGAAAGATCTCAATACCACAGAAGGAACCACTGTGCACAAGATACCCCCTGTATCTTTTCTTTTCTGTCAAAAAACCACAAAGTTGAACTAAAACCAGGTAACTGTTATTTTGCAGACAGAACTGATACTTTCCCAAACGTAGCTAGCTTTAAGCCATAATCCATTTTGTGAGGTGTGACATATGGAATATTTTACTGCCTCATTGCATCTGATTAGTACTAGTGTTGATGCACTGTCAGCATTCCAAAACTGTGATAAGGCTGCTACTGGGACAGCATTAAATAAGATGATGGTATCTTTGTTTATATGAAAGCAAAAGATATAGAGGGAACCAGACAAATGATATTCCCTCATACAGTATATGGTGTTTCAGTACTCAGGAGGCAGACAGAAAGCCAGTAGCTGAGACTCAGCAAGTCACTCTTGGGTGGAAAAAAGCATGATGTCTCCAATATGATGGTATCAACTTTGAAGTGTCAATGAAGCAAAGGAAGGTTGCGTTTGAATGAAAGAATGATTAAACTGTTTGTGAATCTTCTCTGAGAACATTTCACTCTGTCCCCCCAGGTGTCCTGTCCCGGGTTGTGATGGTCAGGGACACGTGACAGGGAAGTATGCCTCCCACAGAAGTGCATCAGGATGCCCCATAGCAGCCAAGAGACAAAAGGACGGCTACCTAAATGGCATCCAGTTCACATGGAAGTCTGGCAAGACAGAGGGCATGTCCTGCCCCACACCAGGCTGCGACGGCTCGGGTCATGTCAGCGGCAGCTTCCTGACACATCGCAGGTGGGTCCAGGGAACTTGGCTGTGTGTTGTTGCTGTTCCTGATGTAAAGGTGTCCTGTGGAGTTTGCTTGTCAACAAACAAAAGTGTTTACATTCAGTATTACTCAGCAAAATGCACTGTGTGAATTCTTGAGGTCTAACAAACCTGTAAAATGCATTTCCTTCCTAAAAGAAATGTAAAGCAGAACTACTTTAGATCCTGCATTATTTACATATATGTTTACTTGGTAGCAGTCTTCTGCTTCCCTGCCTTTGTTGGCCAATTGCAGCATATTGTGGCATCTGACTGCCACCTGTAGATCAGTGGAAAAGTGCGAAACCATTGGCAGGAGCATATAAGCAAGGACCCATTCACAGAAAAAAAAAGCTCCATAGCACTATCAGAGCTTAAAACCTCCACAGGGAACCTTTAAACTTATTTCTATTACAAAGATAAAATAAATGAAGAGTACAGATTTAATGTAACGTTCTACTTTGGATCTTACATAAGAGGATGGAAAGCTGTGATTCATGAGAACAGTTGATGCTCTAAGCTTTAAAGGAATAGTTAACTTTTTGCTTAAAGTTAGATGAGAAGATCAATAGTGGTCACAATTATAAAAAAAAAGATAAATACGTAGCTGGAGCAAACAGCTGATTAGTTTAGCTTAGCATTAAGACTGACCTCACCAGCTGCAACCAGGAGACTTTAAGAACGTACTGGTCCTGTCCAAGAAATTGGCAGGCACATAACCTTGTGAAATGTTGAATTGTTGTTTTTACACTTTGTTTCTTGTACAGTTTTAACAAGCAAGGTACAATGTTAATGTAATTAGAGAGCTTTGACGGTGCTGGTAGGTATATTTTGTTACCTTGGACAAAGCCTGGTTGCTGTTTCCCTCAATTTCCAGTCTTTATGCTAGGCTAAGCTTAATGTCTCCTGGCTGTAGCTACATTCTTCTCATCAAACTCTCAAGAGGGCAAGAGAGCGGATGTCAAACCACTCCTTCAAGACTGAATTTAAGGGAATATTTGTCCTCAGCCTCCCTATATATAAACCCAGCTATGAACCATGTTGACTCATTGTGTGTGTGGAATAGACTGAAACAATGCTTCTTCTACTTGTTGGTACCTCTAGTCTGTCGGGTTGTCCACGTGCCACCTCCGCCATGAGGAAAGCCAGGCTCTCTGGAGTGGAAATGCTAACAATAAAGCAGCAACGTGCCAGCAACGGTAACTACAACTACCACTCACCCACACAATACCGCCAATCAGGAACATGGATGTGGAATGATTTGCTGAACAGAATTCCCATTTTAGATAATAAACCAATCAGGAGGGTGTGTGTGCACTGAGCATTGTCTGAGTAAAGGCTTAAATTGGAAATAAACTGCCATTCAGGGGCAGGGTGCAAATAATGAGAAAAGTGGCTCCAATCTGGAAGAATGGGGCTGTGCTTTTTTGGCCGTAATCAGACAAGGAATATCTGAGTTAGCTTGTGGTTGTGCGCACCATCTGTTTTCCTAACACTTCACCCTGGACTGCAGTGAATTTCAACGCTTCATAAAGGGATGTGACAGGATCATAATGTAATTTGTCTGTGAGATTGTTGAGTCTTAATCAGCTCAAATGACCTGCCCCAGTTCTATTGTAGAGGTGAAGACAGTCGCACACAGTGACCAGCACAATGCTTACGTAGCTATAGAGTCATATTGTGTCATTTTTAATTACTTCAGTCCAACATAAAGGCTGTTAATCTAATTTATCACTGAGGCTTTGTAGTGATATGTCTGTGCTAATGGAGCTCCTGCTTTGTAGGACTGGAGCATGAAGAGGAGATCAAACAGCTGGATGAAGAAATCAAAGATTTAAGTGAATCAAATTCACAAGTGGAAGCAGACATGATCAAACTTCGAACACAGGTAAGTCACTTCCTGTCTGCTACATTCATTAGCCTGTGAATACACAGCTGCACTGTAACATCCTGTCATTCACTCCCTCCTCTCCTCAGATTACAACAATGGAGTCCAACCTGAAGTCCATAGAGGAGGAAAACAAGGTGATTGAACAGCAAAATGAATCTCTCCTGCATGAGCTGGCCAACCTCAGCCAGTCACTGATTAACAGTTTAGCTAATGTCCAGCTCCCTCATATGGTAAGGGCCACCAGGAACGGCTAGCCGGCAAGTTGCAGAATATAGCTAACAGTAGCATTATAGCAGCTTATTCAATCATTTGTATATTTAACCACAGTCTATTGTGCATGCCTAAAATGTGGAGCATTGCTTGTATTACCAAACAGTGAGGGGGAGTTGTGAAATGAGGTTTGACTGGGCATTTTTTACAGTGGTAGCAACTCCAACAACAGAAATGATTGCTACATTCAACTGTTTAGGTTAAACAACAGTATATACAGTATATATTGAGGTTTTGTCTGTGCGTTGAAAGAGGTGTGATGATTAAAGGCTTTATTGTAGAGTGTACTTTATTCTTTTGCAAACAGAATATTACCTTATTCAGTCTGGATCATTATATCTTTCTTTGCCTCTTGAAGATAAAGCAAGAAGTATTCCATTCTGTTGAGTTTCATAGTAATCAAACACTATTTCATCCTGTTTTTCATCCTTACAATGGCATTCTGTCATGATATCCTCTTGCATAATGGCTTATTTAACATTCACTGACAAAGAAATAAATTATTCCTCAGTTAAGCATCCTTGTTTAAGTGGCAAACATCCTCCTTTTATATTTCAGCTGTTGTTCAGATGAAAAAACCTCCATGACACTGGAGTAAAGTTAATTGAAGCAGTTGGTGGGCTGGCCTGGCTCTGTGTTTATCGTTATGTCTTGTATGTCTTCATCTATGTTCAGCTTCTATTTTTCCAGTTAATTTGAGGTTCTGTGTTTATGGCTGTAAAACAAATGCTGCCACCAAGTGTATACATGTATAAACGTAGTTTCTCAAAGCAAGCTAACAGAAATGTGTCCCTCCTTTCCTTTCCGTAGAAACCACTGGCACATAAAGAGCCTCCTTTAAGGAATAACAGCTGCTTACAGATGCACCAGCAAGTAAGTCAATAACGTCTATCATTTCATGCTCTGTATTTCAATATTCCTCTAAATATTGTCATTAGTATGGAAGCAAAGAAAGGCCATAAGGATTTGAATCTTAAAAGCAACTAAATACCTCATTGTGAGGAGGATCAATTGGCAGAAATGGAATATAATATTCATAGGTATGAAAACTGTCTCTGTATCGTAGTTTCTACAACATTGTTGGGAAGCTGAGCTGTGTTCAGTTTAGATGCCACTCAGATTGTATTGGTTAGATTCAGACACCAGAATTCAAGGTGGAAAATTCAAACAAAACATAAGCTATGGAGGATGATTAATCAAGCTTAATGGAAGTAGTAATTAAGTTTCACATGTAGGTATTCATCCGCTTATAAAACTGACGTTATTATGGCCTTCATGTACTTCCATACATTCTCCTTTATTCATGCCCTTTTCCTTCTCATAAACAATTTTCTTTCTGATTGTGTTTTATAATACTATCAGTGAATGTGATGGAAGCATGAAAGTGTGTTGTGAAAGTAGTTGTGTTTATTTGTAACTTTGACCTGCTCTAAAGCCAAAGCAGCGTTAATAGCAAATGATTTCATCACGTTTTTGTTGAGACACAACTCATAAAAATACATTAACAGAGATATATTTACTCATATTTCTTCTTGGGACTTTGCATATGTGATGAGAAGGTCTGAGGTCATCTTAAATCTGTCCTTACCTCTGTTTTCCTCCATTGTGTCTTTGGTCCTGCAGGAGCCAATAAGCGAGCAGAACTTTGACGCCTATGTGACCACTTTAACGGATATGTACACAAACCAAGACCAGTACCAGAGCCCAGAAAACAAAGCCCTGTTGGAAAACATCAAGCAAGCTGTTCAAGGGATCCAAGTGTAACCATTCAGCAAAGGGAGATTTTTGTTCCCTAAGCAGGTGTGGGTGTTGTATCAAATCCACATACGAACAGGCAGTGATGGGTTAATCTCCTTGGTTCGGTGCAGTAACTTATATAGTGTTATATATTCTAAATTCTGTTCTCTCAAAAAAAGAGGTATTATGCTTAGAAAGACCTCGAGATAATTTCTTTCTTTCGTTCTTTTCTTTTTAGGCCTTGCTTTGAGGAAGAACATAAAAGAGTAACCGGCAAAATAGTTTTTGAGGACATTCACATTTTGTACGTTTTCATATGAGCTGACATAGTGTCATGTAATGTTTCTAGCTGCTCATGTATGCACATTTTTAGTGTATATTTCTGAACAGTAAGCTAATGATAACGGAACGCAAGTTCTTTTTATTGCTTGACAACAAAGCATTTTAGATGAAAAAACTGGACAGTGAAATAAAAATGAAAAAACTACAAGCAAGGAGGAAGCTACTTATTTTTCTCCTCACTGGATGATTTTGGACTTGATGATTTTAGATGTTTTTTCTTCTTCTTTTTGCGTGTACATTGTTCAAGAGCAAGAACTGGTCTGCGAATCGCTTTATTTTCTGACAATGCTTGAGAAAAGTTTGTGTTTTGTTTTGATGAAAAAAAAGATGTGTAGCTGTAGGTGGGGGCATTTTTAATTGGTGCTGTAGATGAATCTGGAGAGGAAACTGACCTGATGTATGTATGAATGTATGTATGAACAGTTATATTGTAAACATCATTACACGGAAACCCGATGGTGGAAATCCCATTATCTAGGAGAGCCAATTAATTCCTAGAGGAACACATCTGTGCAGCGCATGCATGTTCACATGCTCATCCTTAACTAATCTCAAACAGAAATGATGTGTTAAGACAATGACCTATAGAGACCACATTCTAGCCTTTCTAGTATCAAATCTGCTCAATTTCGAGACTCGTTTGCTAGGATCAAGAAGTGTCTCAGCAATATAATAAGTGAATAATTTGTTTATAGTAGGTACGGGATGCAATCTGCAAAGGAAAAAAAATGTTGGGTATATGCAATTTCTTGTTTATAAGCATAGCGGGGTAACATGAATCTTTTTAATATAGCCTATGTAAAATATTGATTTTTATACAAATCTTTTAATACAAAAAGTCTTTTTAAAAAAGAGGAGGGAACCTGGACATTGAGTTTTAGAAGCGAAAGTATATGAGTTCCACTTTTTTTCTGTACGATTTTGCACAGGGACACCTTCGTTTCCATGTTTTGATGTTCTTACAGAAACTAAAAGCAGTACCCGAGAGCCTAAAAGGAGGGTTTCAGAGGGTTTTGTAAAGAGTATTTATAGAGTATGACAGCGGGACTTACAGGGTCACTGTCCCCACTTATGTGCCAGTAGACTATTTGCACTTGTCCTTGAAGATATTATCCTTACGTACGGCGGCGTGCAATTTTCCAGGTGACCTCTTTGGCACACGATTGAAGCAACCAACTGCTTGGAGCCACTGTAGGTGTGGATTTAGTACCACTGAGAGAGGAAGAACAGGGACTTGAAATCAGAGAAGAGGATGATTATAACCATAGCAGTTATACTGTAGGCTATTATCAAGTGTAAAAACATTAACAATGTTCTTTCATTTTTGCTATGTTTTAGGAAGATGAAGTTATCCCCCAGCAGCACTTTATATCTAATCACTGTACAAAGGATTAAATAGTCAATCAATTCAAGGTTTTAAAAAAAGCAGAAGAAACAGTGAACGAGACCTTCAAGGGGTGATACAATCCAGCGTGACGCCCGTATGCCTGACTGTATGCACCCCTTCATTCTGTTGTTCTAGTTGTTAGCGATCATGTTCAGAATTTGCCTTTTTGAGAGCTAATGCAAAAGGTGCTTGTTGTTCACCTGATTGAATCTCATCTATTGTACTTTACTGTCCTCTTTCAGGACTCTACTACCCATCATCCATGACTGCATACGCCTTTTTCCACAGCATCGTGTCTGCAGCTTTTTGCCAATATAGTAATGCTTCAGTAGAGTAATAGCTAGTACCAGTTTTTGAATTAATTCTCATTATCAGTAAAAAGGGAAACGGGATTTAAAGCACAAACCGGCTGCTCATCTGATGTTGGTACATAAATAACAAATCTGAATAGAGTTATCTGTGACTATCTATAGGGAACACAAAAAGGTTGTCACATATTTAGAAAGCTGACTTTTCATATAAATTATTGTGAATTCATCAGAGTTTATTATTTTATTTGAGCCAATTCATTTTGAGACTGGTTTTCAGTGACCATTAACAAAGACAGGATTTTGTATAAACTATTGTGCTCTCTGTGGAACTGAAGTTTGATTTATTTTTGTACTACACAGCATGGATTTGTTGACATTTTAATTTTGCTATAAATGTGTGAGATCACAAGTTGCTGTGATATTTCATTTATAAATTGTGAACTTTGTACAATTTTTGTCATGCTGGATGTTGACACATCTTACTCTGAATAAAGAAAAAATGTGTTGCCAGAGGCCTGTAAAAGGATTTCTTTTGTGTGTTCATAACTGATACCGTATATTAAGTCTGAACTCTCCACCAGCAGATGTCAGCAAACTCAAACTATACAATACACCACAGCTACGCCTGATGCTGTGTCAAAGATGAATCATTAAAGTGACTGCTGATGAAAGGCAGGTTCATGATCCTAAAATAAATACAATTAAACATAACCACATATCCTCAAATGATCCTTTAGTCATTAATCCCTGTTCAAAGCAAACTACAATTCTACACATTTTATTGAGATACCATTGTGTGAGCAACTCATTAATTAAAATTCACATGCAGCCAATTCAATTTGTCATTTAGCCAAGATAATCCACTTTGAAAAATTAAAGAAGGCTATATACTGTAGGCCTGTTCCATATCGATCTTTCCTTCTCTCTCTGTCTTGCTTTCTTCGTCTTGATACAGTAATCCAATAGTTTAGTATTTATTTCTATAAAGTTAGGGGACCGACGACAAAACAGTGTACACAGAATCCTGCATGTTGCATGTAACTCTGTAGTGTATTTTGTTAGACACTCCCTGCATGGTATGCACTTGTAATTTGGGACTCATTTAGGAGGATCTATTGGCAGAAATGGAATATAATATTCATAGGTATGTTTTCATTAGTGTATAATCACCTGAATATAAGAATTGTGTTTTCATGTACCGATTACGAATGATGGTAATCATACCAATAAGGTAGCCAAGTCCACAAGCTATGAACCATATCATGTTCTCCTTCAGTAGCCAGAAGCGACCAAACAAACACTGGCTTCTAGTTTTACAGGGCCTTCCCATTTTTTGTGCCCCACCGTAAGTCTTGTCCCTATCCATGCCTTGAACGGGAAGGAGTGGGACACAAAGGGTAGAAGATGTCACTAAATTTCTAACACAACTGGACCCTTTAAGAACTGCCAAAGTGATGCACTAGACAGACCAAACAGCTTCCTCACACGACATGTATACAGTAAACGAGGATCTCTTGTGACTAACTCAATACTGAACCCCTTACTAGTGTGTGTAGGATGTAGTGATGTGTTAGTGTGTGTGTGTGTGTGAAAGTGTTCCGTAACTGTACAGTCTATAAGCTTTGTTTCAACTCTACTTCATTACACTGGATTGGGAATGAAAAAGTGACTTTGCGATTAAAGAGCTGACTCACAGTTTTAAGGGTGTTTGGAAGTATTTACATCAAGGGTAGATATTTTTACCCTTGGGTTGAACGCTATAAATCATGTTTCATTTCATTACACAGCCAAAGTAAGACTGATGTGAATGAAAGATTTCTTTTACCTTTATTTGACAGTCACAGTGTACAGAGAGACAAGAAACATAAGGAGAGAGAAGGATGACGTGCGACAAAGCTCCCCAGCAGGGAATCAGACCATGGTTGTTGCAGTTATGTGGTAACCATTAGGCTAATGGAGCATCCCAAGAATTGTCTGAATACTTCTGCACTGTATTGTTCAAGACTGAGAACCTAGTGGTATCTGCATGGTTCATTCACAGCAACAAGGTTGTTCCTACTTGTACTTGTAGTAAAGTCGTGATTTTAAAAACTGCTATGGTCAGATATAAAGATATAAAGATGCAACAATCTTGTGGACATCAAAGTTGACCAACAAGGATGCATAAGATAAGATTTAGATGAACTTTCTTCACTTTTTAAGTAACTAGAGTCAGTGGATGGAGAGCAATAATGGCCTACGAGAAGAGTACACACCGATGCACATTGATGGAATAGCACTACAGCTCCCTGTAAATAAAACACCACAGCCCATAGGATGTGCTGAAACAATGCTTCCACTGTTAATCAGTGCCTTCAGCCTGTCAGGCCATGGAAATGCTAACAATAGCAATGGGGAAGCATTGTTAGCGGTGGAAGTGCTAACAATGACACAGCAGCGTGCCAGCAGCAGCAGACACAACTACCTCTCACCCACACAATGCAGCAATCAGGAACACAGATGTGGAATGATACTCAGCTGAGCTCCAATCTGAGATAATAGACCAATCAGGAGGCGGTATGTATGTATGTATGTATGTACGCTGAGCTGCTGCTGAGTACAGGCTTAAATTAGACATAAACTGCCAGTCTACTTATAGGTTGTAAATAACCGGTTCTGGAGAGGAGCTCCGTAATGGAAGACTGAGACTGACGTGTAGTCATGGAGCTGTTAAACTAGTGTCAAACTAATGCCGTTATGTTATTTTAATGTGCAAACACATTTATCTGATGCTAACATCAAATAAAAATGCATAGGCCTATCTATTTCAGGCTGAAGTTTCCTTCTATTACTGATGTTATTCCTACATTGAACAGCAGATGTCAGCAAACCCAAACTATTAACAGAGGCCTGCGGTGTGCAACCCAGTGCTGTGGGTGAAGGCTGACAGACTTCATGTTCATCTTGCTGTGTTGTGTAAATGTCGGGATGCCAACTGATTTTAATTGGTGAATGTTGTAGCGCATGTACGTAGCGCTTGGCCCCAGTTCTCCCTTCTGATTGGTGCTCCAGCAGACCTAATTAGCCACACCTGTGATTGATCCCAATTTATTTTTTTGAGATAATGGTAGGTAATATACTTAATTTTTCAGTCGTATTATAAAAAGTAATATTTATTAGATAGGGCTGTAATACAGTGAACGTTTTCTGGCTAAAGTAATGTAGACGCGGTGCTTTACAATTGTTCACAGCCTAGCTAAAACTTGTTGTTGCTAGCTGTATCACTTCCTGTTGTGAACACTTTGGGACAAAATTAAAACACGTTAGCAACAACCAGGGGCCCTCAAACTAACTGAAAGAAAGTGAGCTTTATTTGCATTCCTTTGTTCATTTGTGTCATATTTATAGATGAACTCCCCTAGGCCTTCTCCAAAGCAGACATTACCACAGGTCAGAACAAGTACAGGTGGTAATTGCTAATATTAATCATGGCTGCATTGCAGTGGTGCCAGAATGAGTTCCGATGATGTAACGTTAACATTAATATGCTAGTGAGCTTTCTCATGTCCTCTTAATCTCAGCCTACAGTTTTTTTAAAATATGGTGAGAAATGCCTTAGGCTTTCTAGTTTCATATGATAACAGTATCTTCACTCTAGCTTTAAAGGTCCAGTATGTAACATTTAGGAGGATCAGTTATAGGTTCATTTTCATTAGCATATAATCACCTGAATATAGAAAATGGTTTTGTTTTTGTTACCTTAGAATGAGCTGTTTATATCTACAGAAACAGCGGGTCGCCCTCCATGGAGTCCGCCACTGTTGAGAACCACCCAATCGTTCCTTCCTACCAGTAGCCCCACGAACAGACCGACAGACCGAAACACTGGCTCCAGATAGGGGCTTTCACATTTTTCGCAAGGTTTGTACCCACCGTAGTTTGTCCTACACAGTTCACAGCCCCTCCAGCTCCTATTCCAGGGGCAGGGCCCGGGTACTTTATGTACTGCACTGGCTCACTAATTTTGGTGGTTTGGTGGAACAGCTCTCCATTGACACCTGGACAGCAGAAACACATCTGCTGTCACAGACTGAAAACACAGCTGTTCAGACTGCACCTTGGCCCATAAAAAAACCCTTTCTCTATCTATTATCTTATTGTTTCTGAACGTAGCAATTCAGTGTATATTTGATGAAGCTGATTCTGGAAATTTTTGGGTTGAAAGCACAATTATAAAGTCTCTTCAGATAAAAGCATCAGCTAAATGAATGTAACTATAGCTGTAGGCCTTTTTTGTACTACAGTGTAAAAAACCCTTTATATTTATATAGCTGAATTATAATCAATGTTCAACTGCTTTATGCTGTTGGATAACTTAACTTTTTAATAATATATCCATTTATTAAGTGATTTATATTTTGCATTACTATTCTATATCTGCAGAGTAACTAGTAATGATAGCTGCCAAATAATTGTGGAGTTAAAAAAAACAATATTTCCCTCTGAGATGTTGTGGTGGAGTACTTGAGTAAATGTACTTTGTTACATTCCACTCCACCTCCAGCAGCTTCTGATACAGGCACGCTTTGGTAGAGACTGTACTGTTCACCTGTGACCGTCAGTCAAACCTCCAGGACATATTTATCAGCGTTACAACAGCAAACCTGGGGATTATGACATATTGCAAATGTTTGTGATTTGGGGGCGCTATAGCAAATTTCGAAATGTGTTATCGCAAAAGACGCAGAATAGATACGAAGTGAATCCCGTTAGTAGGCGCACAGTGAGGACAGATGAGTTGGTGCCTCACTCACTGACGTTAGGTTCAATAATCCCACAGTTCTTGCACTCAGATTTCTGTTGGACTTCCCACATCTTGGATTGTAACACACTGCCCCACTTCTCTCTCTCCCTCTCTCCCTCTCTCTCTCCCCCTCTGTCTGTCTGTCTGTCTGGCAGTCTGTGTGTGAGTGGGGCAGCTGGCGCTCTCTGCTCGGCTCGGCTCACTGCTAGCAATGGCGCTGCGGGCTGGCCACCTCTTTTCTCCGTGTCTACTCGCGGCGGCTTTGTTACTGCTCGCTAGCGGACCACAGGTTGTAATTTGTTGTCCGAGTCGCTGTTTATGTTTCCGAACCACGGTGAGATGTATGCACCTAAACTTGGAAACCGTACCAGCAGTTTCCCCGCAGACTACCATTCTGTAAGTAGCCTTTTCCTTCAATCTAACGGAACCAACCCTGCAGCCACTCCAGTCGGGAATGCAGTGAATGCTATCAAAGCCTGTGCATTTTTCCACATTTGAGGCCTCTGGGAAAGTTCTGATACTTGATATTATTTGTGTTAATACATCATAGTGTTAAAACAAACTTTTAAGTCACTGGTTAAAGTTGGAATTTAAACAAAGGCTTGTGGGAATCATGGGTCCTGCAGTAGTGCAGAGGTTATTGCAATATCTCAGGAAGTTTTTACAAAGTCCTGACACCTGCCAGTGAGTTCAGCTGTTGGCTGTAGAGGTTAATGAAA